AAAAAATATTTTTTTAGCTTTAGGCAGCCCATAGTATTGGACCGGTCATGACAATATACTCTCTCTCCGCTATAATTATATATATCAGTAAAAAATTTTACATTCGACGTTGGTAAAAGGGTGTCAGTGTAAGAGTTAGAACAATTATTTATTGGTAAATTGACCAATCAGCAAAGGTAGGTGAAGTGTGCTTTAACATCATTAAGTATTTTGTCGGGGCATAATTTCAATTCATATAAAACAAACTTTTTTAGTTATCGCATATATTATACAGTATTCTAGTACTTATAAAAAGGTCAAGACGTATTATGACTCGTTGATATGACTATTATAGCAAGCTGAATAATAGTATATTATTACGCATTTTCGTAAAATCGTATAGCTTAAACTACGTTGATTCCGCAGCATAAACCTTTAACTACAAAAATTTTACTATCAAATTAAAAATATATAAATAACCATGTCGGAAAATTCAATTATTGCATAAGGCTGCTTTTCTCATTATTTATAAATAAACTTATATTTGAATAATCTTATTTTGTTACATTATGTTTGAATGAACCAAAAAAGATAGGAAAAATCAAAGATCGTTAGACATAAAAACATCGTGGAGCCTAAAAGCCTAACATTTAGTACGTGAAACCCACATGGACTAACATGTTACATCTCCCGTAGCTATAATACGCAATATATTTTAATATATAATGTCTACATTTATGTGCATTGTTTTTCAAAAGAATAGAGGGAGTTTTGGTTAGGTACTTGCATGTTTTTCATTTCTTTTCTTCTTCACTGAACAGGTGGAGTCAACCCAAGTATGGCTGCGTCAAGCAAATCCAGAAGTTATAATGGCGACAATCTTTGAAAACAAATCCGAGTTTTAAGGTAAAAGCGAGCCAAAACATAGTGATTAGCTTCTTTTCAAATACGAGAGCGAACCTCCTCAAACAAGGGCTCTTGAATCTTGATATACCATCATGTATATTTATGGTGAATAATTCGTGTATTTGGTCAATATCGTTATAAAAGCAAGGTATAACACAGAAATTTATTTTTAAAACTAGCACAAAAAATACAATACCATTTTTGGTACGCTTTGCCTTTGTCTGCTCCATTCTGTGTAGAATAACTATTCGGAGCTAATCTTAAATTTTGAAATCCGCGGATAGTAGAGGTAAGTTTACATACAACTACAATAATATAATGTAAGTTTTACTTGAACGTTTTATCAAAAAAAAAAAAGTTTCGCATGAATAAAGATGCAAAATCGTTAGAACCTATATATAGTAATACAGCAAATATGACTAATTCTAAAAAAAGATTTTTTTTTTTTTTTTTTCGTTTGTAAAACTATGAGTTTAAACTCACATTGCAAATAGACTAGAGACTTGACTATCAGAAACTATCATCAGAAATAGAAAAAAAAAATATAGGCAAAGTTCATAATACCAATTGAATACGTATAATTTTTTATGCTCTTTGATGTATTACTCTTCATAATTACGAATGGTTACACAATATTACTATGTAGATAATGTTTTTTTTTACTCATGTAGATAACGTTTAATGGACAATTATATGTCTTGAGTATCTTTCTCAACCTAGCTATACGCCTTCAATTACGAGGTGCGGTTATTATCCTCTTTCCTTCCAAACGACATGCGTCTTTGCGTTCCGGTACTCAAAATTCTAGACATTTGTTTGTTAATTATATCTAATCTTATGAATTATGGTTACCATTCAATTTTACTCTGTTCATTTTTCACCCTTTGTTCGACACATTTCGTAATAACCATATTTATTTTATTGTTCCATGCAATTCTACAATTATATTTAGCTAGATCAATAGACAAACATTATCTTCCATGTATGCTAATGTTCTAGTAGTCACCAATGTAGAAAATTAATTTCCCGGGTTCAATAATCAATAAAACAGTACAATTAGACTAAAAATATTTGTCTGTGTTTAGTTAATTCAATTGTGTTTAATACTAAAAGCATTTCGTTCAAATAGAGGATAAAACAAACATGTTATTACAAAAATAATCAATGTGATGTGAAGCTTAGGCAAACAAAAGCTTTAACAATCACATACGGGAAAACGGTCTTTTTCAATCTTATCTATTTGTTGACGGGTTTTTTCCAACACAAACTATGACCTCCAGTCGATTTCAACCCAAACCCAAATATAATTCAAAATCGAAACCTGAACTAATACAAATGAGCCGATTTCAACATGACAAGAAACGGTGTTAGTTCAAAAGTTAACGGTTGCTCAACTTTGGGTAATTCTCTCTCTATAGCATTCAGCAAACCTTGAAAATAAAATCAAATAACCTTGAGAACCATTAACTTTCGAACTAATATTGTCTCACATCGTGTTGAAATCGGCTCATTTGCATTAGCTCAGGTTTCGATTTTGAATTATTTTTGGGTTTGGGTTGAAATCGACTGGGGGTCATAGTTTGGGTTGGAAAAACCCGCCAGCAAATAATTGATGTTGAAAAATGCCGTTTTCCTCAATCACATACTTAGATGTCCCATAAAGGACATGAAATAAATGAAATAAAATAAGGAAAACTTACTAGATAAACCCAAATTATGATTCTAATTACTAGAATGTCTCAAAAAATTTGGGGGTTAAATAAGTTATTTTCATGACCATAATACCCTTTCTCTCTTTGTTAGGAATAAAAAAAATCAAAATTACCCTTAAATATATTTAAAAAACGTGGTGAAAAAATATTTGGAAAAAAATATATTTAAAAAATCTGTTGGGTTAATTGTGACAGGATTATTTTTCATGACAGACTTATTTTTCTATGACATAATTTTTTTCTCCCACAGACGTACTTAAAATAGGTTACGACAAATATTTAATTTGTAGCAAATTTTTTCCTCACGACAGACTTGCTTTATTATGACACCACGGACTTTCGTAATTTTGACAGATTTATTAAAATATGCGGCAAAATTATTGTCTTAGTGGCGTCAGACTTATATTTTTCGATAAAAATCTGTCATAATGTAGCAGATCTGTTAATAAAAAAAAAATTATTACTTTGAATTATTGGTGATAACAGATTTATTTTATGTTATGATAGTTTTTTTTAACAAAAATCATAAATGTGACCGCAAATTTGTTATAGAAAAATATAAATTGTTAGAATGACATAAACTCAACAGAAATGTTTTATGTTATGACAGATTTCTTTTATATTACGACAGATTTCAAATAGGCTATAACAAAATATGTCTTATGATGGCAGCTTTATTGATGAAAATAGAATTTTAATCTGCACAATAAGGTAATGACAGACATATTTTTATCGCAACAAACTTATTTATAGATGGTTCATGTGTGGCTGTCTCTTTCTTAATATAGATAAAGATAATTTTTTCGTTTTTATATATTTTTTTTCTTTTTTTATTTATTTATTATTTTTTTGTATTTTTTTCGTTTTTTTTTGTTCTGTATTTTTTTTTCATTTTATATTTTCTTGTCGTTTTTTTTTTCTTTCTAATTTTCTATTTAATTTAATTATTATATGTTAATTATTTTATTTTAATTGAATTGAAAATAAAATGGGTATTTGTTTTTTTTCGTTTTTGATATTTTTAATATTTTCTTCATCCAAAAATATATATATATATATATATTTCAATTTATATATATTTTGTTTCTTTTGTATTTTTTCTGTTTTTTTTTTTAGTTTTATAATATTTTTCTGTATTTTTTAATTTTCTATTTAATTTAATTATTATATGTTAATTATTTTATTTTAATAGAATTGAAAATAAAATGGGTATTTGGTCTTTTAACACAAAAATTGTGTTATTCTAGTAAACCATAATATTTGGGTGTTAATCTAGTTATTTTTCTTCTGATTTGAGTCAAACTAAGTAATTTTCAGATAAATAATTACTATGAATATTCTGAGTGATATGTTTTTCCTTTATCACAACATGGATTCAAATCCGTTAATTTGTGAATTGTAGAAAATAAGCGATTAACATATTCCGCTCACTCTATTGCTTAAAATAATTAATTTTACATTTGGTAGTGCTTTAAAAAAAAATTCTAAATCATAAAAAGAAAAAATGATTTTAATTGTACTATTAGCTATTAATAATTACTAATTCCGGTAGATATTTTCCTATTAGTTTGGAAGTTGGACGAAAAAACAATAACATGGTTCAGTTTATTTTTTGTTGTTGTTAAAACGTCAAACAAGATTCAATTGATTAGATTTAATACTAATTAATTAGTGGACTTTTCCTAATTTATTGACACTTTTGTATGTTATGCAAACAATGTACACAAATAAAGGACATAATTAAGTACCTTGTATCCCCGTGGTAATCATGATTTAGAATCTAAAGAGGCATAATCTGAGATCTTAAGCAACCACATGGGACATGTATGCCATTAAACATCATGTAAACTAGATCCCAAGCTTCCGAAACATAGGAGTTAAATTAGGGAGCAGACGAACTTATCATGGCTACTTTTTTTTTTGGGTAATCGATTGCAAGACCGAATCAAAGTCCACGCTGCTAATTTTTTTTTCTTTTCTTTTTTTTCTAACCCAATGTTAAGTAGACGGTAACTAATATATATTGGGATACAAACCAACGTTTCACATCGGAAGTTTTGAAAATAATAGTCTAGTATATAAATCTAGTCTAACTCTAATTAGTATAAAACCTTTTGGAAAGAAGTCCAAAACAAATCCGTACATGCTTAGACACTTGGACCCAAAGTGGACTATATCTTACTAATGAAAAATTGGAATAACCTTAAAAAGCTTAATAACCAGACGTTTATAATAGTTCACTGAAACATCCGATAAATTTTGTTTTTGTTTTGATATTATATTTTTTTTTAATGTGTTTTGATATTATATTAAAATCTTCGTATTTTTGTTATTTTAAATTCTAATCATATTAAAAATAGTCCTTTTTTCTACATTAAACGTTTATATTATAAATTTTTTATCCAGACATGTCCCATTTTTCATGATAATTAACATTACAACGTTTTCGGTCCTTACACATCTCAACTGATGTGGTTAATTATTAATATAGTGTTGGCTATATTCACGGTTAAGGGATAATAATATTATTAAGTGGAGTTCTAAACTAACTCGACTTGTTAATCTAAATCCAAATAGGAGTTCTAAACTGAAATTGCAGTCCATATAGGTTCATGGCATATCAACTTACTGATTCGAAATTCTTGTGCTACTACAAGCAATGTGTTATAAGTTCTAAAGGCATGTGAACACACTAATTTAACTAGACCAAATGTTATAAATGGATTTTGATTACTATACACACATATACGTTATGTTGACATATATCCTACATGACAGAGAGTTAGGTCTATAATCTTGAATAGAAGATAGGTTCAATTTCGGATCAACTACAAACTTCCTGGATCAATTCTAGATCTTTCTATATATTAATCCAAGGTGGGATAATATCGTAAATAGTAATGAATTGAAAATAGAAAGTCAAGGTCATCACATGGTATTGCCTTTTAGTGACATGCACATAAAGGGCCACATTGTTTGCTCAACATGGAACACTTCTCTTAAATCCCACTTCAAACTTAACACCAGCTTTGGGAACGTTCAGCTTTTTCATCTATTTCTCCAGTTAAAATTTTTAAATCCTCGTCCATTATTCAGCATAATTATATTATATACAATAGTTTCAATTATTCATATTGTTACTAGTTTTATTAAAAAAAATTTGATTTAAAGCCATACAATATTTTTTTTTAAAAGTTAATTAAATCATTATAAAGCTTCAATATAAGTTTTCCTATAAATTAGTGAGGACTTTTTGTTAGTAATAAACATGCTGCAAGCTGGGGGCATTTACATTTAAGTTTATGAAACTTTCTAATGAAAAAGTTCTACCACATAACAGCCAGATATTTTGCTATTAATATAATATTAAATACGTTTTTATAATATAAATCCACTCTTAGTTTTAAAATATACATTTTGGAATTTTCAAATATATGCCTTTAGTAAAACAAATTGATTACTTATCTTGACTAACTAATAGAAAAACCCACTTAGAATATTATGTATTCATTTCACATCTAGGTGACTATATGTATATGAGAAAAAAGAAAAATATAATTTTATCTAAACGAATTTGGTTTGAGGTTAGCAAAGATTCAAATCTCTTTCTCTCCCATTTACATCATTGTCTATGTTATTTCTCTCTTCTCTCCCTCTCCCATGTGGTCCTTGACCTCTTTATATCTCTCTTATCACTTTCTCATTTTCTTTACATCTCTAAGTGTCTCTATAACCCGAAACAATTTCTTACAATTTTCTCTTGTCTTCTCTTTTCGTTTGCTCTTCTTTTTCTTCTTTCACACCTCTTCAACAAAATATACAACTTGTGGAATAAACATAAACCCTCTATAATCTATATAGCTTCTCTCACTTTTTTCTTTTAAACTCTCGTTTTAATACAACCCTTATCTTTCTCTCTATCTCTTCTCTATTATCAATCTAGAACGAGAGAGAAAGAACACAACTTAAAGGTCATTTTTCTTGCGGCATTGTAGTGTTACAACTAATCAAAAAGTAGAAACAAGAAAATGTCTAACAGAAGATCAAGACAATCTTCAAGTGCTTCAAGAATCTCCGATGATCAGATGATCGACCTCGTTAGTAAGCTCCGTCAGTTTTTGCCGGAGATTCAAGAACGGCGTCGTTCTGATAAGGTATACTACATATATACAGATTCATTTCATTTGACCTCTTTCGTATATATATATATATATATTAATGTAGACTCCTAACAATATTATTTTCTCAAAATAGGTGTCAGCATCGAAGGTACTACAAGAGACATGTAACTACATAAGAAAATTGCATAGAGAAGTTGACAATCTCAGTGATCGTTTGTCGCAGCTTCTTGACTCTGTTGATGAAGATAGCCCTGAAGCTGCCGTGATTAGAAGCTTACTCATGTAACCTTCCAATATTTTTTATTATAACTTTATAATGTTAGTATTTATTAATTTATCTATATATGTAATCTTTATCGTCCTTAATATATTATCAGTGACGTGTTTTATCTTTTATGCACTTCCGAATTTTGGTCCAGCTATTTACATTATTTCATCATAGTCAGTAGTCTCCTAAATATGTGATATTTATTATATGAGCAATGAACATTGTGATGTCCAAACTGGATTGTGTCAGTCAAAGATCCAAAACACAAATGCTGAATGAAATAAATAATGAATAATCCTTAAATTACTATTTTTTTTTCCAACAACTATATTATATTGACTCATATAAACCAATGCTGAAGAACATTATTTATAAAAGTGATGTTATGCGGGTGAGTAAGAATTTTTCGTGTCAGATTATCCGCTTTTACATTCGCATTACAAGAAATTAAAGATAAAAAAATAATCTAACTCTTTCTTGTCCACTACAAGAGATACGGTACTTTACGTCGGTTTATTATGACTTTTACGTCAGTTTATAATTGATTTCAATCAAATGGCAACGGTTATTAAACCAAATTAATAACCTTCGACGCTAAAAATCTTAACATCAGTTACACAACCGACATGTACTTTAACGTCTGAATCTTTGCGTCGGTTTTATAGATTATAACATCGGTTTTTTGTGACTTAAAAGTTAAAATCTATTTTCCTGTTTGAATCACTTATACAACCGACGTGTATATAACTAATATTTTTCAATTATTTTAGTCAATTACAATTTGACTAAAATAAATCATTACAATTATATATATAATTATATATTTATACTCTAGTCAATTACAATTTCAAATGATAATCTGTATAAAAATTCAATTAATCAAAAGAACTTGTTTTTACATAGAATATACATGTCACAGAATCAATATGATAGATACAAATTTAGCTTCATCTATAGCTCTCCATAGTTCTCAAATTGCTGCTTTTGTAATACACACTTCATCTTACCTGAAATTAGAGACAAATTCAAGAGTTATACAATTTGAAAATATCATACAAGTTTCAGAGTCATATATATTTCCAAAACAGAGTTAAATTAGATTGTTACCTTGTCACTTGATATACTAGATGATACTTGATGCAGCATGTTATTGCAGTAACAAGGTTTATGTCTCAACCATTCTAATTCTCCTATAAAAATTAATGAACATGTTAATATATATACTAGAGAAACACTTGATAGGATAGAGCTTGAGTATCATAGACATTCTCTTGTCACTGATTATAGACATTCCCTTGTCACTAATTCTAGAGAAACACTTGATATGATAGAGCTTGAGTATGAAAGATAATTTGCTAAATGATTGACACCCGTCATAGAGAGCTTGATTACAATCTGACATCAACTCATCAAATGCTTTATTTTCTTTCAAAGGATCCTCAGGCATGTAAGCAAACTCATCAGTTTCTCCCTCAAACTCAACAGATTCTGCATTCACATTTGGTGTAGTCGTATGTATACTTGGAAAGACATCACCAAGTAGATTCAAGATTGGATCTTCAGTCTGATCTATGCGAAGTTGATGATCTGAACTGACTGTTTGTTCTTGGCCGTCTAATTCCTTACCATGTAGATACCAATTTGTGTATGTGCTTAGAAATCCATGACACATCAAATCACCTTCAATGTCTACTCTAAGTTTGTTCTTGACAAGGCAACAACGTTGACAAGGAGATTTTAGCAGGTCTACCTTTATTTTACTAAAGACAAAATCCAAAAACTCCTTGACTTCGATTATGTAATCTTGAGACAATCGAGGTTTTGTTATCCACGACTTATCCGTATCCATATTCATCTTAAAATTTCCTAGATAACAATGACCACTTCTCTGGAAATATTTCAGAGATTCAAGTTTACGTTACCCATAAAAATAGAGAATACGTTTCTACGATGCATGCGGACATCTTAGTTTCAAAACGAAATAATTAAGAAACACAGAATCTTATAGTTTGCTAAAAACAACATGAAAAAACCGTACAAGGCTAGCTAATATAATCTCACACCAAACAAGCATTAACAAATTATGGGTAAACAGATGGATGGATACTATAATCTCACACCAACACCAAAATTTCAAGGTACAAAGCAAAATCAAGCTTGTGAACAATGATCTCTTCTCTGAAAATACTTGAGAGACTCAAGTTTAAATAACCCATAATACGTTTCTAATATGCAGACATTTTAGTTTTCTAAACCATATAAGAAATCAGAACAAACACAAACCAATTTCATAATTTACTAAAAACAACATGAATCGCTTCCATGAAAAACAGTACAAGGCTAGATTCTCATAAAACAACAGTAATAGGCTAGATATTCAGGAAACAACAATACAAACCTAATCTCACACCAAGCACAATCAAAATTTCATACGACAACTAAAATTTCAAGGTACAAAGCAAAATTAAGCAAAATCTCAAGGGAACAGATTCAATACCTTATTGAAAATTGAGTTAGAGCTTCAAGTATCCTTCATCACGGCGTCTGGTTCGAGTTAGAGCTTCGAATTAGAGCTTCAAGTCTCCTTCACCACCAAAAACCACCAATCGTAATCAACTTTACAAAATTCTACAAACAAACCTTCGATACAAGCTCCGATTTCGAGATTTTAGAAGAAACTAATCGAGGTCATAGATATGTGAATGAAGAAGACGAGTTTTTTTCTTTCTTCTTTTTTTTTTTTTTTTGAGAAAAAGAAGAAGACAAGTGTTATTCATCAGTTGTCTTTAGAAGTATCTACAGTGTTAGGCTTTAACAAAAATAAATATGGGCTTTAATATGTAAAGAGCCGAATATGTAAAGAACCGAATATTACGACAAAAGAGTTACGTCGGTTTACATAATGACATTAAATTCCTTTATTTCCAAAAGTTTAAAGTCGGTTTATTATATGACTTTAATAATTCGACGTAAACAAGCGTGTCTCTTGTAGTGGTCGCTCGGAATCGCTTCTAAATATGTTGAGAAAACCGGTTACTCTTCCGGAGGAGACACCATCTTCACCAAATCTGAACAGTCTGTAAAGAAAACTATTTTTCACTTATCTTGGCCGATCATGCATCTCTTTTTCTAGTATAGTGCTTCGACTTTTATATGTAGAGAAGTTAAGTTTTTTGGAAGATTTTGAAATTAATGGATAATTATCTCAAATTTTGAAATTTGTTATCAACTAATAATATTAACTATTAATTATTTGTTGGGTAAGCACCGGGTCATATTTATTGCATTTCTATAAATGACTTTGAGGTTGACGAGGTAATGAGAGGTATCTCCATTTAACGATGATAAATAAATACTCCCTCTGTTTTACAATATTAGATGTTTTAGATAAAAGCACAAAGTTTAAGAAAGTAATTAATTTTGAGTTTTTTATATTAAAAATACAAATTAATATCTATTAAAAATAATTTGACCAATGATATAATTTACTGCTGAATATAAATAGTCAAAAAGCTGTTTAATTTAATATTTTGCTTAGAAACTTTAATTGTTTCTTCAAAACATCTTATATTGTGAAAAAAAAAAAAAAAAAAAGTCTAAAACATCCTATAATATGAAACAGAGGGAGTATGAGAAAGCTCATGATCATGACTGTGTATATGAATGTCCGACAAATCTTGTTGGAAATTTTTTGGTGTATATGTTAGATCATCTCCATTCATAAATTTTTGATGGGTGTTTTAAACATAATTTCATATTAAAATTTAAAGACATTTTCAATTTTTGTGTCTTAAATGTCTTCCTATAGACACTCCTTCCCATTTTAAGACACTTTCATTTTTGTTTTTCACTTTTTTTTATTAATCTTTTCAAAATTTAAAGACACTCCAAAATATAGCTGTCAACAAAAAAAAAAAAAAAAAAAAAAGACACTCCAAAATATATGTAATGGAGGTGCTTTTAAAAGTAGTTTATATGGATTTAAATGACTGCCAGTTTTATTCGTTAATACGATTTTTGATATATGTTTTTTTTTTTGTGGCTGATTGGTTTATACTGTTACTGTTTATGGTGACTGTAATTTGGATTTAAAAATCTTCGAAGACGCTCAATCCCCAGATGATGAAGTAAATGTTGAAGATATCGAAGAGAAGTTCAAACTCTACATAAATGTTCAACCAGGAGAAGATGCACGAATGATTGAAGACTCGTATGAATGTCCAGATGATCATTATGGATGCTGCGAAGAACATATGCTGGAGTTCCACATGGATCATTAAAACGGTATGAAAATTATAAAATATAAAATATAGTATGATATGTTTAAAATCATGTAAAATAAATAATGATGTAAGCGATGATGTAATCGCTGATGTAATGATTATGTAAGCAATGATGTAAGCGATGATGTATCGCTGAGGTAAGCGCTTATGTCAGCGCCTTAAAACCTCCTATAAATAAGTGTGTAACCCTTGTAAGAAAACACAACTTGAAATATCATAAAATTTCATAATAAGCTTTCTCTCTCTACAATGTTTCTCTAACTTCTCTCTAAGTTTTCCAGACTTCCTAACTTCTTCATAAACCTTGTTTCTTTCTATTCTAAACACAGTCGCGATTCTGTATTGTTCTCTTAAGGTTAGCATAAGTGGTCCGTCAATACGACGGTCAAACACGGCAGTCAATAGTACTCGCCGGGGTTCACAGTTCCTAATAGTAGGTTGAGCAATACAGATGGCAATGAGGCCCGAACCGCTCCCTTTACCTGGAATATGAACCCTTGCTTGTAAACACGACTCGTCGTGCTAGACTTAGTCAACACGACCCTCCGCTCGTGCTAGCTTTAAGATTATGGTATCAGAGCCAAGGCTTGTGTTAAGATAGAGCGAATCATTGTTTATGACTGATCGTTTTGAATGTTCTGGAAAACAAACTCTCAATCATGTCTCTTTCTAAGCCTCCTAAAAACCCTCAGCTAAATCCTTCTATAGATTCTCAATTTGCTATATCTACTTTACCAAAAATCCAAAGAAATAATTCCCTTTCTAAAATAAATTCCTTGTATGAAATTGAATACGTTCCCAGAGATCAATTGCCAGAAACAACTCTCCCGTTGGTTAATCCTTATGAATACTTTGCTAAAAAGCCTAGTGCTTTTTCAGTAAAAGGTGTTCGTGATTTGATCAGGCCATCTTCCAGTCGACGAGTATTGGAATACGTACAATCCAGCAAGTTTTCATCCTGTCAAGTTCCAGCTACCGAAGAAGAACAATTCATCTCGCTAAATATTCCGGAGCATCTACCAAGGCTATGGCAGCATCAGGGCTACACTCATCTACACTTTGGTGTAGTAAGAGTCGGTTTAACCTTACATGCACGAAAAGGTTTACCGGTTGTAGCACGAATAGCTTTGCTTGACTCAAGGCTCAAATCTTATCAACAAGCTTGCATCGGAACAGTACAAACAACGCTGAACGCAGGAACAGTATTTATAACACTGTTTCCCAATTTCAATGTCTCACTACAAGATCCAAATCTCCTGAAGGCGCTTAAGGTTCAATTACAACTAATCGGAGCACCTATGCAAGAAGAAAGTGTGGCAGCAACTCTACATCATCAGATTGTCTACAGAATCCAAGATCATGCTCTCGATCTTGCATTACCAGCATCAGACGAGGCTTTATACCTTGAGGTCACATCGGCATCACAAGCACCCAACTCTATTCAAATACCAAGGCAGATATCTCGAGAAGAATTGCTACGAAAACTGCCAGAGTCATGGGTAACAAGCTATGAGAAGATACATCAAGCATCTCAAGCACCGATTCAGTCAACTGACGTAAGCTTTCACTCTAGAAGCGATGGAACCACAGAGATAAAGTTCGAAAAGCCTAGATCGTCTTGTCAAAAGAAACTCTTTACTCAATTCACTATCCAAATTGAGGAGCAAGAGTTCTATGATCCCGTCAAAAAGAAAGATCTTCAACCAATCGCTTTTGGTCAGAATGGAACTGTCGTATATCCATTCAAAGATGAGAACGGACACTGTTACTTCGATGTCTGCTCATGCACAGCATGTTTGGAAGATTCTTATGAATCGGATGATGAAAAGCGAAGAAGACGGAGAAAAAAGAAGGATCCACTTTATAAACGCTACCTTGAAGGAGATCCTACAGTAGGTCCACTTGGTGAAGACAACTACGATTTCATAGTCGAATATTCAACAAAGAAGGATGACTCAAACCAGCAACTCATGATGATAAAGATGGATTTTCCTCCGCCAAAAGACTTTGTCAAGGACGATATTGTGCATACACCAAAAATTGTTCCAAACAACATCAACCCCTCTGGACCCGACGAATTAAGCCAAGCAGAGAAGGTTCTCAACTGGCAAACAGAAAATGCCTTTGTTCAGAATCAATTACTGTCATCTATTAGCCGCAAGGTTGATCAAATGTCGGAGAACAACAATAGAAGATTCAACAGTCTGCAAAGAGCCATATCAGAGATTCAACAGAAACTCAGCAACTTGCACCTGGAAATGATGTCTATGGCGAAACAAATGAAAGTTGATACATCTCAGTTCAGAAGTAAAGAAGCTGAACAAACCAATCTTAAATATCAACTCAAAGATCTTCAAAGGAGCCTAGAAAGTCTAGTCCAGAATCAGAGGCGAGTTAATGTGTACAATCCTTTTGACTACATGTCATCTGGATTACCCACATATCAAGAATCATATTCTCCAGGATTTCTGTCCGGATATCAAGATCCAAAACCAAAACAGCCTGTACCTGGATTCTTATCCTCGGATGAAGCTTTTACATCTCGGTTTGGCACAACTTCAACCAGCAATTTCAAAACAAAGGTGGCAAGAGCTAAACCAAGGCGTCAAAAAGATTCTGAGTTTCACATTAATCCATCCAAGAAGCCAAGTTTCACATCTTCATCAAGCCATGAGTCCGCTCAAGATGAAAAGAAAGAGGATGTTGCAAAAGAAGAAGAAATTGCGATGATCGAGTTTTCGATGTCTAGTTTACTAGACAATCTCGTGAAAACATCTGATGACGAAAGACAAGAATTGCAAGTTCAATCAAAAGAGCAGCAGTCGCTACCAATTGTTACAATGACTCACATTTCAGCTCTTTCAGATTCAACCTCTTCCGTCAATGAATCAGAAACAGATGAATCTCTTCCAAATCAATTTGCAATAGGAGATGAGTCACATATTCCAAAAGAAGAGCCGATCTATGAAGAAGTTTCAAGTGACGAAGAAATGGGTTATGAAGCTCAAGGCGTACCAAAGAAACAATTTGCATCAAAGATAATGGTGTTCACATTCGATGACATTCCTTTTGAAAAATGGAATAGTCGTCTCGACGAGTTTCATGCGTGGATGACCTCCGAAGCAATCACTTCCCCAACAGAAATGGTGATACAACAATTCACATCGAGACTTTCAGGCGCATTAAAAGAATGGTGGAATTCGCTTGGAGAATATCGGCAGCAGCAGGTGTATCAGACAACGATACCTCTACTTCTTGGAGAAATACATAGAGAATTCGTTGGCACCCCAAATCATTTAAAAGAACAACTACAAGAAGAGTTCTACACAGCGAAGTGTTGTTCATTAAAGAAGAGAGATTTAGCAAAGCATTTCGAGCGACAAACTCGAAGGTATTATGCTCTCAATGGTCTAAACAATCCAAGCCTGAAGCAAGTGTATCTCTCATCCATAGACGATTACCTGAGTCAACAAACAAAGCTGTATATCAGAGA